GATGATGTTGGGTCAAGATCATCTTTTGAAGGCACCAATGAAACTAGTGGAAACCTAGCTTCTGGTCCTCAAGAACATGTTGGCAATTCAGATAGAAATGATGGAGCACAAGCTGCAATCAGTGAACCACAACCGGTGAAATTTAGTGCACTGTCTGACCAGAAAATGAGCTCTCGCGGAGGAGGACTCTTGGAAAGAATAGCAGCTAGAGCTGGATTTAATGCCCCGAAGCTGAACACGGAGAGCCTTAGACCTGCTGATCTGATGCAGAATCAAGGAGTTCGCTCTCCTTATTTAACTATTCCTCCTGGTCTTAGTCCAACAACCCTGCTAGAGTCTCCTGTTTTTCTCTCCAATTCACTGGTATGAATACACCTTGTGTATACCCTTTGCCTCCACCGCATAATTGATTTCCCAGATTTAGGTTGCTTATTATTGGTTATTTCTGAACTATGTTATAATGGTGGAAGTTTAAAAAGCACGCCAACAACAAATGAAAGGGATATAATACACAAGTTTAAATAATAATAGGCTATCAATTCTGCAAAGTGAGAAGAGGAGTTGTGACTATGATTAGAGTTGTTCTTGGGTGATATACTGGATGGATCAAGTGAAGACAAATATTTGTATCTATTTTAATAGTTCTACCGAACCAACTTCTTTGATTTTTGAGCAAGAGTCCATGATTGTTTGTCTTTGACATAGTTTAAGAAAGTAAAGACTACTTTTGAATCTAAGATATGTAGAATATACCAAACTTTCCTTTAATCTTAACATGTCATGTGGGAAGTTAGAATTAAAGAGTTGCCAACAAAGGGAAGAAATATTCTTTTTGATACGGACTAAAAAGGAACAAACAAATTGAAACGGAGGGAGTAATATATAAAGCTGTAGAAGGATATAGGTTTACTTGCTTAGATTGCTCTTTGTTGCAAGTAGTTATCATGTTCTTTTTAGAAAACACTAGCTCATAAATAAAATTCAGATGCTTGTACTTATTCACGAGTCTTTTTATGGTGTGTCACAGTCACGAGCTTTCTTTTTTTGAAATAGGTAACTTTACAGTCACGAGCATTCTCTTTTACTGGGTCTGAATTCTTGCATTTTATCAAACTCCATGCAATTCTTTTCTGCATTTACTGAATGAAGGGTTTCATCTTCTGAGTTTGTAGCATAAACATCATAAAATAAATTTTTAACCTGCGGTATCTTACCTCAAGTTTGCTTGCTTTGCAAAGTTCACCTGCAACTTGTCATCCGTCCATCTTCCCCTTGCTTTATATTATACCAAAGCAAAACCAATTGTCAGAGTTTTAAGAAGTTGTGAGTCCTAATTTCACATCATGGTCCATATATTGGTTTATACTATTAATTTAATCTTCTAATTGGAGTTTTCAGAACCCAGTAAAGAGCTTCAAGGTCTGTAGTTCCTTATATAGGACAACTGTTATATTGTTAAGATGTTAATCTTGCAAGATCTTGTTTCTGATATGTATACTCCCTCCGTCACAATTTGTTTGTCTTACTTTCCTTTTTAGTCCATTTAAAAAAGAATGTCCCTTCCCATTTTTGGTAACTCTTTAATTCTAACTTTCCACGTGGTATGCTTAAGTCCACAAGCTTAAAGAACATTTTGGTTCATTCTACATATCTTTAATTTAAGACCACAGGATTCAAAAATATTCTTTACTTCAATTTCGTGTCAAGTGCAAACCAAACAAGAAAATTGAAACGGAGTGAGTATCATTTAGAGGCACAATTTGCTTGAATCATTTTGGCTTTGGTCTAATGCAAAGGTCACTTCTTTTGGGCGCTTGTACATCTGTGTGAACTCCCATTGTTCTGAAACTGAAGTATTCTTCTTCAAGGTTCTCTTTCATGTAAAATTTTCTATCAATGTCTTGCAGGTGCAACCATCCCCAACAACTGGAAAATTTCTATTTTCCTCAGGCATTGAGAATAGAAACTCGGCATTGATGATGGAGGATACAGATAAGAGGAAAGATAATGCTTTAGAGAGTATCAATTCATCGTCCTTTTCTTTCAAGCCAGTTCCAGAGACTGCTCCATCTCTTTTTCCTGGCACGACCAGCAGAGTAATCACTCTCAATCTCTCGAATGCACTCTGCACAGATATTCTGTTTGTTTCCAATCTCTGAGCTTGTTTGTTAGTCTTGGTTGCAGGTGAACCCGTCCAATTTTTCTCAGCAAGGATTTCCAAACATTGAAGTTTCAGTTCATTCCCAGAACTCGCTTGTATCTCACCGTGTGGAAGCTACACAAAACCCGACTCAGAGTGGAACACTTCAGCAATCATCTGATTTCCCTAGATTTTCTGCTGAGAAGGATGTCATGGGTAATAATGTTACCCTAGAGTCTAGGACTTTTCAGACAGTTGGTAGTGCTGTGGACCATTCTCCACCTCTCGATGAACCGCAAGATGAGGACATTGATCAAAGAGGAGGTGGAGATCCAAATGTTGCTGGTGCCCCAGCTGAAGATGGTTATAATTGGCGAAAATATGGGCAGAAACAAGTTAAGGGGAGCGAGTACCCCCGAAGTTATTATAAGTGCACACATCCAAACTGTCCAGTCAAGAAGAAAGTGGAGCGATCTCCAGAGGGTCATATTACTGAGATTATATACAAGGGAGCCCACAATCACCCAAAACCCCCACCTAACCGTAGATCAGCCCTTGGATCCACAAATTCACTTGGTGACCTACAGCTGGACGGTGCAGAACAAGGTGCAAGTGGTGTTAATGGTGATCTGGGTCAGGCAAACTTCCAGAAAGCACCTGGTGCTGGAGGAGGTTTTGATTGGAGGAACAACAATCTTGATGCAACATCATCAGCGAACTTGGGCTCCGAGTACTGCAACAGATCTGCCCCTTTCTCTGCTCAGAATAACACTCGGTTGGAATCAGGTGATGCAGTAGATGTGTCGTCAACTTTTTCAAATGATGAAGATGAAGATGATCGTGGAACTCATGGCAGCGTATCACAAGGTTATGATGGTGAAGGAGATGAGTCCGAGTCTAAAAGAAGGTTTCTATATCATCGTTAGCCTTAATGAATGAGATTTCCATAATTCTATCAAATTTACCTGAGTAATTAACTTTTTATTATCTCTTTGGTTAATATTACTAGGAAGCTCGAGACCTACTCTGCAGATATGACTGGTGCCACTAGAGCTATCAGGGAGCCAAGAGTTGTGGTTCAAACTACAAGCGAAGTGGACATCCTTGATGATGGATATCGCTGGCGTAAGTATGGGCAAAAGGTTGTTAAAGGGAATCCAAATCCGAGGTTAGTCACATTGATAAAAAAAATTATGACACCAGAATCCCAAATTTTGACTTGTAAAGTTGTTTGCTAAAAATGATGGATTTCCCTTTTGGCAGGAGTTACTACAAGTGCACAAGTGCTGGCTGCAATGTCAGGAAGCATGTTGAGAGGGCCTCGCATGACCTGAAGTCAGTGATTACCACCTATGAAGGGAAGCACAACCACGACGTTCCTGCAGCTCGCAACAGTAGCCATGTTAATTCAGGGGCCTCCAACACTCATCCAACTTCAGTTACTGGGCCTGCTCAAAACCATTTACATAGGCCTGAGGCTGCTCAACTTCAGAATGCTATGGCGCAGTTTGACAGGCAACCTTCATTGGGCTCATTTGGTCTGTCAAGGAGGCCCCAGCTTGGACCTAACCCAGGATTTAGCTATGGAATGAACCAGCAAGGCGGACTATCCAGTCTAGCAATGGCCGGATTTCATCCTAATCAAAACAAGCCAGGGGAGTTTCATATGCATCCATACCTAGGACAGCCGCGACCCATGCATGATATGGGATTTATGTTCCCAAAGGAAGAACCAAAGGTGGAACCTATGTCGGATCCTGGATTGAACCTCGCCAATGGCTCAGCAGTTTATCAGCAATTTATGAACAGGTTGCCGCTTGGACCTCAGATGTAAATTTACAGTTTTTGTCTTCTCTAAAGAAAAGAAAGTTAGAGATGCTGATTTGGTACTTAATGGGCATACCTCCTACACAAAGTCCTATAATACAACTTTTTGAAGCTATATTTTGTCTTTGTTTTAACTTCTAAATACCATATAAGCAGCCATTTATTTGGTGTCTGTGCTTCAGTTTCTTGCTATACTGACAACAGTTTCAGGTTGTAACATGGAAAAGTTCCATGTCCTATCTTACTTCATCATATTTTGGAGGCTAAGCTTTATGTCCTCCATGTACTGGTTCTTTTGCTTAAACCGCACCATGATGGCCTTGGTCTTATATTAAAGAAAAAAGTTTCAACAAGAAATTTATGTTTGATATTTCTAGGTACCATACCAATTTCGACCCCTGTTTTCATCAGTTGGTATATGTATGCAACTTTTGCTGCTCTCATCTCTAAGTCTGAGAATTTTAAAGTACAGGTAATTTATATTTTTAGTTGGACATCAATGGTATATGTATATATGCAATTTACTGTATATTGAGGTTCATTGTCAAGCGCTACATTGCTAATATCTACATAACTTTAACCAATCAATCATTGTGCTCTTTATTTGAGATGTTTCTAACATTTTAGAGAAATAGTAAGTTGTACAAGTTTCGTAATCAAAGTTTGCCTTACATCAACATTAGTTGAGCATTTAGGAAAAGGTACCAACTTTCTGATAGGTTCGACAATTGCACATTTTGTAGTAGTTACGGCACAAGTCTTACAGAGGAGTTTTATGGCCGAATGTTGTTATGACTAAATTCGCTGCTACTAGGTGGCGTAGAGCATCATTAGGTCTGCTTCTATAATTTTAATCTTCTGAATTTTGTAATAATGATTTCAATTGGATTCTAAACTTAATAATTGTTACAATACAAATTGAGAGCAAAAGTTAACCAAACCCGTATTCGGACTTCTAATCTGCCGGCTTGTAACAACAACCGGGGTAAATGGTTAAAAAGGGAAAAAGCCAATAGTAAAAGTAATCTTAACATATCAAAAGAGACGTATGAATAGAATTTCAACTAGTTGTCTCTCAATTTGTGTATATATATTAATCCATGACGATTTCACATTTTGATATTACCCTGATCTACCAAGTATATGTTTCATGTACAAAATGTCAAATGTCAAATTTACACTAATGACGACTGCCTTTCCGATAAAGTACAACCAAAACTATTGAGGAAAACTCATGCTATTACGCTCGGGCTCTGTAGCAGCATGTCCGCTCCAGAAACAAACAGGAAGGAACCTCAACTTCTGCACACATAATTAAGTGAAGAATATACAGTAAATTGGATACTACCTACTGATGTCCAACTAAGATCGTATATTTCTTTGCTTCCCAGTCTCAGATTGATGCCAAAGTAGAACAAACACAAATTTCTTGCTGGTGATATTCAGTGCCTTGAGCTATTAATGCCCATTCGTTATGATCTGCTTATCTTTTTCTTCTTCATTCTGCTGGTAGACCGACTTCCGGTGACTCACTTCACGCCTGTAGGATGAATTACATTCAGAAAACACACTGACAATACAAAACCCAAGCACTTCTAAACAATTCAAAATCCACAAATGAGTAGTCTATTAGTCATCAGCACAAAGGCTGTGCAGGGAGCCAATTTACATTTTAGAACGAACTATGATTTTGTTCATCTTACAAGGATTCGAAAAACTCTTGTAAAGTTCAGTTCCACCTGCATAGTTTTGTTAATACCAAAGAATATAATTCATCCTAATTTTCTTGATTGCGTCACTTCTGTCTTCGTATTTTCTCTCCTTTTTATTTACTTTCTTTGTATAATAATGTTCTTTTGCAAATGACAGGTGGTATTGGAAGCAAGCTAACACGACCAAACTCGGGCAAAGACTAAGATCAGTTTCACCTCTTGGGCTTTAGCTCCATATGAGTGTTCAATCGAGCTACAGCTGTATTGTCATTCAAACCTATTTTACCAAGCTGTAGTTTAGCGCCAAATATTAAAAGAACCCTATAACTATCACTTAAGTTCACATCTTCTACGAGTTCCATTCATTTATAGTCCCCCATAACATAGAGATTTCTGCTCAATTTCCAAAACGTCTTGCAGTTTAATTCCCTCTGAATAAAGCTACAGAGTAGGATCTACAGTTAATGGAAGAACAAGTACCATAAATCCATTTTTACCTTTTCTTTTTACTCCACCAAAATAAAAAAATGAACTTCCTACTCTTGTGACTTGCATACCACATAGAAACATATGGAACACTTCAAAACTTGGATCAGAGCAAAACGGAGCAACATACAAGCATAATATGAGATATTACATAGAGAAGCTGCAAAACCTGATCGTCTCCTCTACTGAATCATAATGCAGAAGAGCAATAACTCTGCGCTTTCTTTCTCTTCTGAATTCTCCACCACGCTTGACCACAGGCAATTGTTTAATTCCTTTGGCCTCCATTAGTTGCTTTGCAATTGCTAGATCCGTATCAGGATAACAAGTTAGGAGTCCACAATCTTGGCCACGATAGCTTATCCCTCTTGTGCAAATAGAGGACACAAGACAAGTATTTGCCTGTAAATCATATAACTAAAGTAAGAAAAGAAAGGAGGTGCATGGACTGAAACTCCCGGAGAGAAAGATGGCAAAGTGAACACAAAATCAGGGAGAAAAAGAAATGAACACTAACAGACATTTGTCATGATGGCAATCTAAAGCACATACATCTGTGACTGATAAATCTTTGTTGGAAGAATCCCCATGGTTCTTAAACAAACTCCTTTTCAAGTCACCATATGTTAAAATTCCTTCCAAGTAACCTTCAGCATCAACCACAAGAACGCAACTCTGTCGGCCGTCATGCATGCATTCTAATGCTTCTTTCACAGTTTGGCTCGGAGAGACATTCAAATAATCATTTGACATGGCCTGAGAAACCTAATAGAAGGAAATACACATTAGATTCTTGAAGTACCTAAATCACAAAATAAGTCTCCTAAAAGAAAACAGGTGGTGTTTTGTTCAAAAAATTGAAAACCAAGATCCCATAAAATGCAAACTTTTCCCACTTTCTAGATGCCAACACAAAGATAGTACCTTTAGATCTTCTAAAATGAGACCTTCATCAAATGATTCATGACTGTTATGACTCCCAACCACCATTAGTTCCAAGTTATTTCTCTCACCAGATTGCCTCAAACCATTCCCTTCATTTTTTTCATCAGCTGGTGAAAGAAAAGAGTAACCTTTCGATGCGAACTTGGCTTCTGATGACTCCGTTTCATTTGGCTGGTCAGTAACGGAAGGCACCCATATTGCCAGCCCAACAGCACCCTATTAAAGAGCATTTAAAACAATTGCATGATTTAAAGTGCAAGTTTTACCCCATATATCATTTCAACAGCAACCTACAATAGCAAAAAACATCTATGCGATCATCTAACTAGCAAACACAGATGCAAATCAGATTTGTATATGTCCGATAAAGGTTTAGTCTTAATGTAGTACACTATAATGTAATGTTATGTGTGTAATGTAATTTAATATAATAGAAGGTCTCCTTATTATAGCAGCATAGTTTCCTAGAGTTTAGCCCTCTTACCTCTCAAATGTAGAGAGGACAACAGTCCAACGTGTTAGCATAATCTTACGGCCAAAAGTTACAAAGATTAAATTAACCAACCAAAAAGGTTACCAAGATCAAATTTACCACCTGACCACACAAACTCTCCCTCAGGGTGATTTCAGCACAGACTTCCCAGGAGAATGTTCAGATAGTAGCCAAAAGATACACTTAATCCAAATTTGGAGGTCAAACACACACACAGCTCAAAATTAAGTTAAAGCTCAATACAGGCAAACCGCAATACTGCCACAGTTAAAAGTCAGGAATATACTTAATGATTACCTAAGATAAACTGGTAAAGAAACACCAGGCATGTAGCAAAGAAGGGAAACCTTGATTTCAGAATGACAGTAACTCAAAAATTAGCCAACACAATTAAAGGAAGTCCATTGCATACTCAAATTATGAAGTTAACCTAGGATGACAACCATCTGTCACAAAGAAGACTTGAGTTACTCAGAAAGTAAGAGATACTATGTTACGGACTTGAGTTACTCAGAATGTAGGAGATTAGATAACAAAGATAGGTGTTTTAATCAAGCATGGGAGCTTTTAGTAACACACATGAAAAACAACTAGAACTAGTGAATTTTTGTCCAGCAAGACTAACCATGAGAGGAAGCAAAATTCTATAATCTTTTGTCAACTCAAACAATAAAAGCACTGACGTCAAAGGCACTGAGCAAACTGAAGCTAGTGTAGCAGCCATCCCCACCTGCATTGTTTAAATTTATCCATTAGAAAAGTTTACCACCTAAACGGCATTGGAGTGTAATAATTGTTTGGGGAAGGTAAAAGTATATCAGACCAGTGCATATGCCTGTGGCTGGGCAATAGCAGCATTCCCTGGAATAGCTGAATTAATTAGTTCCCCAGCTAACCCTCCAAATACAGCACCTACAGCAGCACCTATCATTAAGCTTGGTGCATACAATCCACCAACAAGGCCAGACCCTTTGCACAAAGCAGTGGCCATGACTTTTGCAGCAACTAATTGAGCTAGCCATCCAATTCCAGGTGCAGATGCAGTTTTCCCAGTATGTAGGATTTCATCAACATTAGTGAAACCCCAATAGAGAACTCCAGGATATCTCAGAGCTATTACACCAGCTCCTAAACCCCCCAAAGCAGGGCAGACAACATCAGAAAGTCCAAACTTTTCCTTGAGGAACTGAAACCCCTTGGTGAACCAGGACACCAATCGAGTGAAAACAACACTTACTACTCCACACAGCATTCCCAGTATCAGATACAATGGAAGCTCTACAAAAAGGAAGCATTCTCAAGTATTCAGAAAGAAATCCATAAAAAAAATAGGGTGAGAATCAAGACAGTTTAATCTGTAAAGCATGAAGTAACATGATACCCAGTCATCTAAATCAGACATCACGTTATACATTCTCTCTTAATGTATCTTACGACACGCCATATCCAAGGTGAGGTGCCGTAGTGTCTGTTGTTTTATGCAAATGGCATAGTACCGATTGACGAGAATAGCGGTGGAGTTAACCCTGGGCTGGAGGTTTGGAGACAAACCCTGGAGTCTAAAGGGTTCAAGTTGAGTAGGACCAAGACCAAATACTTGGAGTGCAAGTACAGTGATGAGACACGTGAGGTTGGCATGGAAGGGACCCTTGATACGTGGGTCATTTCAAGTATCTTGGGTCTTCAATGCAAGGTAATGGGAGATCAACAATAATGTCACACATCGTATTGGTGTGAGGGGGATGAAATAGAGGCTCACCTCCAGAGTCTTGTCCGATAAGTGATAAGAATGTACCACCTAAACTTAAAGGTAAGTTCTACAAAGTGGTGATTAGGCCGACTATGTTGTATGGGATGGAGTGTTGGCCGGTTAAGAACTCTCATGTTCAAAAAATGAGAGTTGTGAAATTGAGAATGCTAAGGTGGATGTGTTGGCTTACTAGGAGATATAAGATTCAAAATGAAGATATCTGGGAGAAGGTGGGAGTGACCTCTGGGGTAGACAAGTTGAGGAAAGTGAGACAGAGATGGTTCAAGCATGTTACAAGGAGATGCCCAGATGACCCGATGAGGAGGTGTGAGAGGTTGGCATGGTATCCATGCCAAAAATTAGAATAGCAATTGACTCTATGTTACGACCTATTACAATGGAGACGAGACAGTACACTCAGATGTTACTTTAGACATATAGGAGACGAGAAAAGTGTATTTGATGTTGTCCATTCTTTTTTTAGCGAAATTTAGCATGTGAATGACAATAGCAAGTATGAATACCACCGGGAAACATTCTCAGGAGAAATGGTACAACTATATCAGAAATGCATATGCAAAATTCCCTGATTACAAGAATTTCATTCAACAATGCAGCATGAACACTGGCTGAGTGCAGCCAAACTGTGAAAGGGCAAATACCCCTCGTCATTGACTCATGTCTGCTATAGAAAAAATAAATAGAACAACACCAACGGAAATACTCATGCACTATAGTAGTAATGTTTTAGCCATGTAAAATAAATTAGAATTAGATCAAATACCGGCAGCAGATTTCATATCATACGTGGGCACTGTGAAAGCCTGTTTTTCCCCAAGTACTGCATTTGATACAGTTGATGATATAACAGAAGCCAATATGATCATCGCAGTTGTAAAAGGGGGTGAATTTTCAGCACGGAGTGGTCTTAAAACTGTTTCAATCGCAAAGAAAGAGCCAGCTACTGCTGCATTGAAACCTGCAGATCAAAAAATGTTAAACCTAAAGATCCATCAACCAGCTGAGGCAAGATCCAGACAGGTGCAAAGCCACAATTCACACAGACAAGTACGCACCCATGGATATGCACGTATCAGAAGTGCACTAAAGAAGACTATCCGACTACGTATTTGACACATTGACAAAAATAATAACCAAATATTTCTCCCTGCAATGATAAACGGCCTCTCTACCTCCCAAGGTAGGTTGAGGTCTGTGTACACACTCCTCCCCAGACCCCACTTGTGGAATTGAATTTCGCTGGGTATGTTGTTGTCGTTGTTGTTGTTGCAAATAATAGCCTGTGGGACCCACACAGAGTCGTATTAGCTAGGAGGAATAGTTTCTACTCCTTTGATATTGAGACCCATATCGAACCTTGCAGCTCAAAAGACTTGTCGGAAATTTGGCTCCAAGGAGACTGCCTATTTTGACAACATCAGTTTCATTTTTTGGGAAAGAGAAAAAAGAGTCTTTTGGGAATGAAGAAAGATGGGACAACATGAGAGTGCTCTTCTTAGCGTCACTAGAATATGCATTAAATTCATAATCCATACAAGCTATAACACACGAAAAACCTTCCTTGCAAGAGAAATTCACAAAACCATCCACTCATAATGGTTTTGAGATTGAACAAACAATGTCTCATCTTTGTCAATGTCTCTAGAATACCTCTGAGAGATATCATCTCAGAAAGTACATACGAACTAAAAAACTTCTAAACATATAATTTGCTAAGGGCCTAATACTCTGCATTACTTTGGAAGTGAATAAGGAATATTTCCTGGTTCAGATACTTCTTAATAAGAAAAAACATACCTGAAGAAATTCCAGCAGCTGCACCAGCTGCAATGAGAGCTATTCTTCTTTCCCGGTTGTTTTCCATCATCATTGAACATCCATAGGCACATGACTTCCCTATATCTACACTAGGGCCTTCAGGACCCAAGGAACAACCAGTGCCCAGAGTTATAGCAGCTTGAGTCGCCTTCACTGTAGGGAAGATTCCAGCAATCAAATCAAATCCTTGTCCCTGAGTAGAGCTAGACTCTGTTATTTGGTCCAATATTCCAACCAGACCATGCAACATGCCAACAATGACTCCACCCAAAACTGGTATTAAAAGTATCCGATGCCAAGTATCAGCTAGCCTTTGCAAACGAAGCCAAGCAGCACCGTCATAAGGAGTACCAGCCCATGCCCACTCGTGTATTACATGTACCTAAACAAATATGCTCGGTGTCATCCAATATACAATAAAAAAATTACAGTTCAAAGACTACTGGTTAACAACATAAGAAATACAGTACAAGTAACTCTCCAAATGCAACACCTTTAATCAACAAAAATGGTCAGAGAAGCTTGCAAGTCACAAAAGCAGACCCTCAATATGCATATTCCCCATACTAAAAAGGAAAGCAAACCACAGGAACTGCCGTTACTCATTAACTGAAGATCTCTACTTTGGAAACACTGAAACCCCAGGCGAGATACACAAACAACTAAATAAGAGGAATAATATAACATGCAGATTTCATAAAGCAACAGCATTTTGCTGTTCCCAATTTCACAATTCACAATTTTCAGATATTGGTAGTGATAGCAAACCCTAATTTGCTTTAGAAGATAAAATGCATGTACTATTGCACTGAGACGGACTGGAATAGAGTATTCGTCGCCACTAATTCAGTTTACGATTAGGTGTAATGAAATCAAGTGATTAACTGACAACATCTATCTGAAGCCAAGTAAACAAAATCTCCACACTAAGCATCTTATAATCAATCACTATTATGTGCAAATTGAGATAGGAAATAGAAATGACACAACTAATTGTCAACATAGGCAAAAAGCAATAAATCTAGCTAAATTCGTCCAGTTATTGAAGCAAAAATAAGCTTTAACGAAAATGCAAGCTATAAGCTGAAACTAACCCCTCGATTAAACCCGGCAACACAAAGGCCAGTAGCAAGGCCAAGGAGACATCCAACAAGCAACATCGCCCATTCCGGCGGAGCACTATCACCTAGAATTTCATCCGCAGTAGATGAAACACCGCGGCGATTAGAAGGCGAAGGCGACGAGGAGTGGTGGTGATCCCTATCCGATGATCGCCGACCAGAAAATCCTCGATCTAACCGCTTCAATAGATCCTTAATGCTTCTTGTATTCGTTCTCCTCGGAGACGACTGGCTCTCCACATCGCCTTCCGACGCCGAAGAAGTAGAACGTAACAAAATGTTGTGATCGCCGTACTCCCCTCCCGACATTTCTGACGAATTTTTCACCGGCTTTTCGTCGGAGGATTACCGGCGATTCTACCAGCATGCATTACAAAATTGAGTGTACATTTAACAACTTTCTTCTCTGTAGGTTACCTTGTCGCCGTCGCTATCGGAGTCGGGTTTTGACGACTTTGGGCTACTAACGACGGGAAGTGGAGGACAAAGTGCGATTAATCCCCAAAATATCCCTATCATTGACCAACAAAGTTTAATTCTTATATATATGTGGTATTTTTAAATATTTGAATAGTTTTTTACCAATTTTTTGATACTATTATATTTCAATTAAACATAAAATAATAAAAATAAATTACAAAGCTAGTACACCATTTTTCAAAAACCATATTTTTAAATTTCTCGCTTATTATGAATTTGATTTGTCACACTAAAATTGTTTTTTTTATTGTTTGAAATAGTATAATGTTATTGTCTGGAGATTACCAGTAGCTTCGATTGTTGGAATTTCGTATTGCTATTGATATTAGCTTAGGGACTTCCGAGACTATGAGCTAATAGGAAGTTAGAATAAAATATGGTCAATTGGGCACAATATTTTCAGAATGAGGATTGTACTGATTATAGAGGTTGTTCGGGTTGTGTACATGAACAAATTGATTCAGATTTTTAAATTTATAAATCAAATCAAATTAATGAAATTTGGATTTTTCAATTTTGGAATTTTTCAATAAAGTATTGATACAAACATATAATTAACTTTTGCTTCAAATATTTTTTAGTCCTATCAAAATGCAACTAACTAGGTTGTTTCTTAAGAGAATAACATAAATATGAAATGAGTGATGACACTAAAATATTCAAAAATAATAATAATAATAATAATAATGAAATCACATAAAAACAAATATTGCAAATTAACGAGTCATAATGAAAATGATCATAATTTAAAAGTATTAAATCATGCTAAAATAAGTCTAATATGTATTAATTACATGAATAAATATTAAAGAAAATTTAAAATTAGATTATGTATTTTAATTGTCTAAATAAATGTAAATATAAAAAAAATTCATTCTTAGTGTTGAATTAATTTTATTTTTTTTAGCATTATTATTAGTTTGATTTTGATTTCAGCTTTATTTGAGTTACTAACATATATGAACTATAACTTTTATTTGATAATTCAAAATTCTAAGTTTCAAACTTGAAGTAATATGTTAAAAAATAAAAACTACAAAAAAATAAAATATAACAAATATTTAGAAATTATATCAAAGTAAATTTTTTGTTTCAAATGTCGTAGCTAGCTAGGATACTTTCTTCAATTTCAAGCCGTCCCTTTTTACTTATCGATATAAAAACTAGTATTCTACTTTACTATATACTAATATTATTGTAATTATTGATCGTACAAAGAGTTGAACCTTCTCCATTTCAAGTGGGTTAGTGCAAAATATATATATATATTTTTAATCAAATGTACGAAAATATACACTATGTATACAACAATTATATGTTGGACTAATTAAACACCTATTGCTTCTGGCTATATTATACCTTTTCCTCATCGATCGGCTTTCCACAAACTGAGCCCGGCACGGTGCGCACAAATAAATGAAATGGCACGAATCAAATCAATAAGATACTAAAAAGAATCGAATACATACATGCCGTAATTTTAGTTAGAGGTGTCTTATTTGAATTTAAAAAGTTTATTCTCCTAATTAGCTAGCGTTTGATTATAAATCTATGATTAAACGGGAGCATAAAATAGTTCAGAAAGTTTTTCCTATAGGGCCTGTTTGCTTACACCCCTATTTCTACATGTGGAAGGATTATATACTTTGTATGTAGTATTATTGGGCCTAAAAAAATTATTCTAGCATATGCTATGCTGGTTGATTTTGATTTCTTTGAATGATGATGTGACAAAAGGAATCTAATTAATTAAGGTACTGCTTAACAAATCTCTAATCCAGATTTAGTCAGAGCAAGTTTATTGTCTTTTAATCTAATTTTGTTAAGTGAAACCAATTAATGAATTTCATCCTCCATATGAAGATTTTTGGTTTTTATCTATTCTAAGAAATTCATAGTAAATGAACCAGCAAGCATAGTGTGACATTATATTTATGTCTGAAAGGACTAGATAATATTTGAAGGTGTCAATAATTTTGACTAATAAATGTGCATATGTGGTGAATGATGTATATAATATATACTAGTTCAAAGAAATTCATTTTGTCAAACAAAAAACAAATTAACAAAAATATGCAGGAAAATAATGTCGTGTTTGAGCCAAAATTACTGAATTATATCGAAAGAATACGTCTATATTATATGAAACAAAATTTTAGTCAGTATGTTACATAATTATTATATTAAATATTTATACATTTATATTGATGGGCGGTGACGTTACAAACTATTATGGTTAATTATAATTAAACAAGTAAAAGTTATTTAAGTTAGCTGACTAAAAATAATAAAATCACACGATGTAGGGTCACAGTCATTTTCAATTTAGGTAAACATATACGACTAATTGTGATTTGCTTTGTAATGGTATTGAAGGAATTAATTAATGGCTTTAAAATTAATTTACATTTTACACTAATAGACTACTACTATACTATTTTTTGGCCCAGCAATAAACGTGGGGTGTGGGACTATGATTTGGAAGTTACATGATAAATCATTACACATGCAATACGGGTGGAGCTAGCGCTTTGATTATGATTTTTTATCAAACTTAATAATTTTGATTAAAATTTCATATTTGTATATAATTATAAAAAACTATTGAATAATTTTAAAAAGGATTATTAATTTAAAATTAAATAACTTAAATTAACTAATACTCCAAACTCATAAACTTTAAAATCTGACTCTGCTTATAATAATACATTGTTCATATCTGGTGAATAATAAAAGGTTAACAAATACATGATATATGTATATCATTTTATTTTTACTATATTAAATTATTTAATTGTGATAAATTGGATTTTTTTTAAAAGATCCAAATTTGAATAACTACTTACCTATTAGGGGCGATCGAGTGATAATTACTACTCCTTCTAATCCTACTATACTTTAAAAAAAAGTTTATTTTTATTTTATCAAGAAATGAATGTTCATTTTAATTACTACTAAGTAAACAAAATCTCTTGGGTAGGAACATGCCACGTATGTTACTTGAATCATAGAGTAAAATATAGATATTTAGATTTTTCAATGTTTATAATGTCTGGTATTAAGGATACTAGTTCAACTATATCGAGTAATTAATTTGGACCGCAACTGGACCATGATATAAATTAAACTGATACACATTTAACTTTATTTTCTGAATTTTACAAAGTAAAACGAAATGATATCAGCCACACTAACTTTATGGTAAATTTTGAAGGAAAACATTAACTATATATACTGTGCAACAAACAGGAGGCGGATGGGGGTTCGGTTCGACCGAGCCTGTGAACGTGATATTTTATTTTTAATTGAATCGATAAATCGATTTGGGGTGGGGAAGCACTAAAGTTAGAAGTAAAATAATAAAATTTGACAAATAAATGAGAATGTTGCACTTGTCCATCATTAATTACGTGAGTGTTTATAAAGAATTTTCACTATTTTATGTTGCCTAAAGTTATGGATTAGATATTTAAATTCTTTCACATACTATTAGAGCTAAAATACTATTGAGCCTATTTTAATTTGATGGACTTATTTGCACAACTCTTTATATTCGGTGTGTAATTATTGTTCTCGATTTCTATCTAGCTAAGTAGCTATGATAAATGTAAAGAATCCCACATTGGTGATGGAAGGAATTTTAAGTTTCTTTATATAAATTTGGATAAACCTTTTTTCTTTAAGATAATTTTTGTGTTGGTTGATGAATTAGCCGTAAGGTTCATTTAGCATGATATTATAGTCACGCCTCTTCTATATTGACTCTCAAATAGATGAATAGAAAGAATCTCATATCATGACTTTTTTATACGAACTTGGACAATTTCCCTCTTTGAGTTAATTAAATCATGTTCAAGGTCCGTTCAATGTATTTGTTACACTAAAGATAAAAGGCAATGAGAAGTTCTTCATGTACTGTACATGAGTATCTGATTTTATTTACATATATTATTGATATACATAATTCTTATTTTACACCTCTCATAACCTATGTAATTAAATTTAATAAAACGAACCAAACATTATATTATACGCATGTGGCATGCCAATAAAAAAAATTCGACTTGTCATAAATAGTAATAGTTAGTGCGTTAGTATTTGACATGCACCCACTTTCGTAAAAATCCATAGCACTTTATCTTCTTTTTCTCTTTGTATAGCTTTTATTACGACTTAGAGACGGAATCAAGATTTTTAGTTTATAAGTTTTGAATTATTATATACTACATATTGCTTTTTGAGTTCTAAATACATTATTTATACACATTAAATAAATTTCTTAATACAAATATATGATTTTGTTAATTCTTTAACCATATTAATATCGATTCTATCTTTGTTCGTACCAAAAAATTTCACTTGGAGGTAAAATACTTTGTACCAACATATATAATATGATCCAAGATCTTAAGTTCTGGATTATGAACCACAACTCGTTTTATCTATTGGATTCAAAATATAAGCCTAGCGAGGTAGAATTCGAGTTTTGATAGTTTTACTAGATCAAATATTTGGCATGTTTCTCAAGATCACTTTTTGGATCGAGCATTTTAGACCCTTGAATATATGTCGAATTATATTCTTATTTTGATTGCGTCTGATCTCTGATCCCTACTTAGCTATCAAAAGAAATTTAAATCTTTAACTAAGAATGAAAAGGTACTTATCATTCGATCATGACCAGATGATATTTATCCTAAGGTATATACTGAAATATTGGAGAATGAAGATTGAAAAGTAGAGACAAGAAGACATTGGTATAAACAAAAGTCTCTAACATTACTTGTATAATGGGGCAGGACATTATATTTTGTCAATATTGTCAATGA